AGCTGATCTCTGTGCTGGGTTGCGACCCGGTCGAGGCTCCTCTGAGGGCGGTTCAGTTCTTGAGTGGAAGATTAAATCAGTCCTTTATCAGCCTCGGTAGGAGACTGTCAAATCTAATTAAAGCGTGCGCTCTCTCTGCCCGCTCTCTCTGCCCGGGTTAATCACTCACGAAAACAAGACCGTGCTAGTTTCCGATAGTGAATTCGACAAAAAGAAACGTGCTTGTCGGCCCAACGTGGGTGGAAAAATCCTCTTGACATGTGTTCCTGACTCGAAGACAAAAGGCTGCATGCAGGTTACAGGAGTGGAGCAAAGCAGCCGGCAGGCCACTATTCGAGGAGAAAAAGAAAGAAAGAATGCTTTCTTGGCACACGCGAGTGAAGTGTGTGGTCAGTTAAGGTTACAGGCTGTGATGTTCCGGAGCTGGCGTGACTCGAGGCCTGACTCTATGTGAGGTACACGGAGAGATAAGCTCGTCCCCTCAGGTACACCGTGTGATAAGCCTCACTACAGCACAGGGGGGTGAAAAAAAAACCCTACACATTGTTTTGAAGTGGGAGCCAGTTGCTATAGCGATGGCTGCTAATTATGCGTATTGAGCAGGAAGGGCACTCAGAAGCAAGAGCTCCACTGTGGAGGAGTACAAACACAAACCCGGGCCTTCGCCCAAGATACAGCGCTAAAGGGAACTTTGATATCCCCCAGATTAAGATAAGAGGGAGGGGGGAAAAAAGGCTTTAAAAAGAGAGCTGGACATTTTGGAAACTCGTTCACTTTGTTCCTCGAGCTCAATTCATCATCAGATCAAAATACGTTCATGGTTTTTAGGCTTTAGGTGTTCAACTCTGTTGCTTCAGATTTGTTTCTCTGTTCTAAAACACATGCCTCAACTTACTGACGCCTTGATAATTAACAGACGTCTTGAAACGGATGTGTTGGAAGATGAAAAACACAACTTTTCAGAGCTGTGAGTCCCCGGGATATAAACTGTGAACTGCTGTCTTACACTGCAGCTGTTTTCTACACACTGATGGAATATTTTAAACTCAGTGAAAAAAAAGGCAATAAAAGTTCCCTGCAACACAAAATACACATTTCTTGCACTCGGATTGATTCGGGTATAATAGCGTTAGAGCTCATCTCGCTGAGACGCTCTCTGACCAGCGGTCACACACACATTCACACGTAACACACGTTACAGAAAGATACACAGCTCTAATGTGCACATCTTGATTCTACAAACTGAGAACTTGTTAATGTTGCTGATCAGAATATATAGAAGGCAATACAATTTACTTTACTGTAATAGTTAAAGATATTCCAGCCTACATTGTTTGACCAAGTGCTGCATTTACACCGTGAACACTACTACAAATCAGAACTCCGGCCAGGTTTGGGTGACTTAGACCACATTTGCACCTAGTCATTTTCCACCATTTCTCACACGACCAGGATGAACTCCAGATTTCCAACAAACTTTTATTTCTTACGAAAAGCCAAGGCTTAACTGTTCAGCCTTACTCAAATGTATGTGTGAAGAGTTTCTGTGTACTGTATGACTGTATGAAACATCAGATTACACCAAGATGGAGAGAGAGATAATGAGAGAGAACAGAAAAAGAAAAAAAGGAGAAAGAAATATTTACATTATATATATATATATATATATATATATATATATATATATATATATATATACATATACACACACACACACAGATCAGCCATAACATTAAAACCACCTGCCTAATATTGTGTAGGTCCCTCTTGTGCCACCAACACAGTTCTGACCCTTCAAGATCTCTGAACGTGTGCTGTGGTATCTGGCAACAAGATGTTAGCAGCAGATCCTTTATAATACCGTTATAATACTGTTGCCATGAAGGGGTGTACTTGGTCTGCAACAATGTTTAGGTAGGTGGTACTGTACGTGTCAAAGTAACATCCATATGAATGAGGACCCAAGGTTTCCCAGCAGAACACTGCCTAGAGCATCACACTGCCTCCGCCGGCTTGCATTCTTCCCATAGTGCATCCTGGTACCATTTCTTTCCCAAGTAAGTAACTCACACGCACCCGGCCGTCTACACGACGTAAAAGAAAGCAGGATTCATCGGACCAGGACATCTTCTTCCATTGCTCCATGGTCCAGTTGTGATGCTCACGTGCTTGTTGTAGGCTCTTTCGGCGGTGGACGGGGAGCAGCGTGGGCAGTCTGACTGGTCTGCAGCTACGCAGCCCCATACGCAGCAAGCTGTGATGCACTGTGTGTTCTATCATAGCCAGTATGAACTCTTTCAGCAATTTGTGCTACAGTAGGTCTTCTGTGGGATCGGACCAGACAGGCTTGCCTTCTCTCCCCACGCACATCAGTGAGCCTTGGGCGCCCATGACCTTGTTACCGGTTTACCAGTTTTCCTTCCTTGGACCACTTTTGGTATGTCCTGCATACCAGGAACACCCCACAATACCTGCTGTTTTGGAGATGTTCTGACCCAGTCGTCTAGACATCAATTTGGCCCTTTTCAAATTCACTCAGATTCTTACGCTTGCCCATTTTTCCTGCTTCCAACCCATCACCTTCGAGAGCCTACTGCTACCTTGCTGCCTAATACTGTATATCCCACCCTGAGACAGGTGCCACTGTACTGAGATAATGCATGTTATTCATTTCACCGGTCAGTGGTTTTAATGTTATAGAGATACCAATCAGCCATAACAATAAAACCACTAACAAGTGAAGTGAGTACCATTGATTATCTCAGTACAGCGGTGCCTGTCTCAGGGTGGGATATATTAGGCAGCAAGAAGAATATATATATATATATATATATATATATATATATATACTGTATGTACCTAATTTTTAAATGGTACATTTCCTCAGTTTAAACATTTGATATGTTCTATTGTAAATAACATATGGGTTTATAAGATTTGCAAATCATTGCACTGTTTTTATTTACATTTATTTACATTTTACACAACGTCCCAACTTTTTTGGAATTGGGATTGTATATAAACAGGGTATATAAGAGCATTCCCACTTTCCATGACATCACCTGGGTGGGAGCTGAGGAGGAGTGAAGGAAGCGCAGCTGCTGTGAGTCGTACGACCATCTGCTCCTCCTCACTAATGGTTCACGCTCGCTTTACACAGCACACACACTACAACACACAGCACACGCTCTAAACACACAGCAGCCTGACAGAGTCACGGCCACTCGAGAGCAGACGCATACATCGGCTCAGTGCTGATCTGGCATCAGTTTCCCTTTCATATGCTAAAGAATGCAGTTGTGTGGAAAAAGAAGGGATCTAATCTCCATTAGGAGTCCCTCAGGAGGGAGAGAGAGAGAGAGAGAGAGAGGACATGTGGGGCCTGGACTTTCTCTAGTTTTATAAAGAGACTCTCTCCCTGTCTGTCTCTCGCCCTATCTCTCTTTTTCTCGCTCCTCCTCTTTCTGACTTTCAGTCTCTCCCTATCTCATGCTCAATCACTTTCTCTTTCATTCTCTCACTCTGTCTCTCCCTTTTCTCTTTCCCTCTCACTCATTCTAACTTTTTCTCTCCATCATCCTATCTCTCTCGGTCACTTTCACTCGCTCCCTTTCCTTGTCTCACTCACCTTGCCTCTCCCTCTGTCTCTCACGGTCTATCTCTCTCCGTCTCTCTCCTCTTCTCTGTCTGTTAGCCTCTCTTTCTCTTTCCCTCCCACCTACTTTCTCTGTCTCTTCCTGTCTCTCTCTCCTGCTTTCTCTTTCCCTCTCATATCTCACTATCTGCCTCTCCTTATGTCTCTCCCCCTCTGTCTGTCTGCCTTCCCCTCTCTGTTACTCTCTCTCTTTTGCTTCCTCTCTCAGCCTGTCAGAAAGAGTGGCCTCTGTACCAGCCAGTCCCAGTGCAGGAGGCGTGGCCTCTGTAGCAGTCAGTCCTTGTGCTGGAGGCGTGGCCTCTTTAGACGTCAGTCCCTGTTCAGGAGACGTGGCCTCTGTAGCAGTCAGTCCCAGTGCAGGAGGCGTGGTCTCTGTACCCGTCAGTCCCAGTGCAGAAGTATTTCCACAATACCAAATCACATTCTAACATAATACTCACATACTGAATCATACATATCACATCACAAAAGAAGAAATACACAAACGAACCAACACAAAGAGATTTTTTTTACCAACACTGTGAAATGATCATCCGGATCTTGGCATTGTCCTTCTAGAACAGGAAGCCTTTATAACCACCAGAATGAGATTAGTTTTAGACTCACCGTACATCTTCCCTTCATCAGAGAGGATGATCTTGCGGCGGCCACAGGGCGGGTAGATGGCCAGTGCCTCCTGGAAGCTCTGCTCGATGTCGGGGCTCCACACGCCCTCTGCATCGCCGTCGGTGGGCTTTTCGTTCGAGTCACTCATCCTTTCCACTTCCTCTCCTCCGCTCTCACTTCCACTCCAGCTGCCTGCGTCCATCGAGATACCTGGGACCTGCAACCAAGTCTGGACGATGACTGACACACAAACCTGCGAGAAAATGGAGAGAGCAATTTCCATTGAAACTTTAAATGACCAAAACGCCATAAAAAACAGATATATCTATAAAAACAACCAAGGCCAGAATATGTTGGTGGATACCATATATTCCAACAATTCTAACAATACAAAAAATATAATGGAAAAAAGCAATTATTTAATAAACATGGAAACTATCAGCTGGAACACACAAAAATCCTATTTCAAGCAGAATAATAATGAAAAACAGAAAAGAGCTCTGACTAAAGGTGAGACAGAAGGAAAGAAGAGAACACAGCAGGATGTTTGGATTCTGGATTTATCATAGTAAAAGCTACTTTTGACTCAGAAGTATTGGCCTGTAAAAGGCTCTGATGTGATTAGCAAGTAAGCCTCTTACGTGGAAGAGCGAAGAGTTCACGTGGCATTTGGCAGACACCCTAATCGAGAGCGACTTATGGGTTAAGGGCCTTGCTCAAGGGCCCAACAGCGGTAGCTTGGCAGTACTGGGCTTGAACTCCTGACCTTCTGATCAGTAACTCAGAGCCTTTAACCACTGAGCCACCACTGCCCGTTAATTGAGGGGTCAAATATCTTGGAAATAAAATGTCCATAATATTAGAAGAAAAAAAAGATTCAGACAATGTACTGAGGACTACTGAAAGTCCAAATCCATGTGTCATGTGTGTTCTTTTTGGTTTTCCATGTGCATTGTTTCTGTTCCAGTGCTGCCTCTTGTTTGTTACCTGACTGTGTTCACCTGTTCTGTGTTAGTCCTTGATTAGCACGCTGTTTTGTGTCCTTGTTTGTTGTGAAGTTTTGTGGTATATTACTGTCATTAAACGCAGGTTTTTCGTGTATCAAAGCGTTGCCTAGTTCTGCAATTTCCTGGTTTTGACCCTGGTTCCTGTACCACATTTCTGATTATGGATCATCACTGTTTAACTCTGCCTGCCTGAGCTTTGAGCCCTCTTATGGGGTCTGAATTTACGCACTTGTGTCCAGCAACATTCTCTTTAAGCTGCATGTTACACATTGCAATGTTACATTTTATCTAACAGAGCAAGACAATACAATGCAATTTATCGTAATAACGACATTATAAACATTTCAACTAACTCTAGAGCCAGGAAAACAGGAAGACATGCAAACTGATTAACCAAGTGTTCATCCACCTTCAGTTTTAAGTTTCAACCCTTCAACTTTCATTTGATATTAAGTCCTGGTGCTCCTTCGTTCATCTTATACTCATCTTCAGTTTGAGCAGATCTTAATGTAATCACACTGACAGTCGGGGAGACTCGGCCAGCTTTCAAAGGCCATGAAAGCTAAAAATATGATGTGTAATCTAAGAGCTAATTGAGGAGTGGCAGTTAATCCAGAACAGCTGCGATCACACTGGAGAACAGTTCAACAGTTTGTTCCCAGTGAGAGATGTTGAATCAAAATGGTTTATAATAAATCCTGACATGAATGCGGGGTTTATCCAGAGGGCAATCACAATGATTTACACACCGACACGCTGCTCCACGTCTGTGTTTCTGCCTAAACTGGAGCCATTCTGCACTATTCCAACACAAAACTACTGGTCATGCTGGTTCTTGGGCTTGGAGTGAATTAGTCACAATGACATAATTAACAATTTGAATGGGAGCTGGATGGACATTATGGATGAGGGAAGTCCCTGAAAATATTAGGTGTCTAAACAGTGACTCGTAAAGTGTAGGACGCATTTATAGAGTACACAGTCAATTTGTCCTCCCTAGAACTTTTCTGAAGGCTATATCATATCAGGTTCATAATAGACACACAGCTGATATATTCAAATATGAAAGAATGACATGTTGGGCTCCAGAGTGGTGCAACAGAAAAGCATTCACCCTATCGTCAGGAGATCGCGAATACGACGATAACTGTATACAGGATGGGCGATAATATTTAAAATAAATAAATAAATAAATTGAGATGCACGTCAGTGACTGTGGATAAACAGACAAAAACTCCTCAGGGATTTCATTGAGATTTTATGCTTTCACCTTCTGTCATTTATGTGATACATATGTATAGAGTAGAATCCTGCAAATGTTTGTTCAGTGGGAGTATAACGTTATAGGCTCGTTAATATCTACATTTAAATGTGAGATTTAAAGCAATCAGTGCGTACGGGCTTTATTTGTTGACTGGAAAACTTCTGGATGAATTCCACATGGTAATAAACCCTGACATTTACACACATCCTGTTTGAAAAGATGTTTCTCTTTAGAACATCGAATTAAAGATCAAATGACGAGCCAAACTGCAAAAGTAAACTGATCTATCAGGCAAAAAATGCTAAGAACATGTACGCATCCCAGAGCAAAGACACTCCTAAATGCAGACACAACCTTAAAAAAATACAATAAATTGAAAATAAAGACACTTGATATCAGATCTGACTAATGGCACTAAGTTTTCCAGTGAAAAGGCCAGTGGAAATGGTGTAGCGTTTCGAAGAGCTCCATGTGTTTCCTGTTGAGCGTGTGTGTGTGTGTGTGTGTGTGTGTGTGTGTGTGGGTGTGTGTGTGTGTCCAATTTATCTTTGGTGTGCTGAGTCCTTACTGCATAGAATGAACTTCTGAGTGAGCGGGAAAATGCAAGCATACTCCAAACCGCTGAGCTGAAGCATGTGTCATCTTCCTGACTAAGAGATGGACTCAGAGAATAATCAGTTCCAGCACACTGCTCTGTGTGTGTGTGTGTGTGTGTGTGTGTTGTGGCTTTTGGCCAGGTCCCCTAGAGTGGTGTGGAGTTTTCCAGCAGATGTGGAAGAATCACCCAGATGTGTCGAACAAAAAGAAAAAGTGTTTCGACAAAGAGAAAAACTTCCCAGTGTGGGTTAAATGGGTCAATCCGGGGTGTTCATAAACTGCAGAGACATGAGGAGGCACTCCGCTGTCATCATGGCTGTCCCTTTACACTTTTACAGGAGTAATGAATTCAACAAGGCGAACACGATACCCAGTGAGAACAGTGTGAGTGTAACAGGGTCAGTATGTGCATGTGACAACAGGATATAGCAGACTTACTGTGTGTTCCTGTGATTTTGTTTTATATACAAAGTTAAAGTGTGTTGAGATTGTGCTTAAATAGTAAATCACAAAGCTAGCTCAAAATAAAAATAAAAAAAAGGAACAAATCTGTTTACTCCTAATATTTCACCATAATGAATCTGAACAAAAGTGACTGAATACTTACGTAACACACAAATGCAAGGATGGGACCTGCAGTCCAATCGGTTACAGCGGCATTGAGGGTGGGACCTGCAGTCCTATTGGTTACAGCGGCATAGAGGGTGGGACCTGCAGTCCAATCGGTTACAGCAGCATTGAGGGTGGGACCTGCAGTCCTATTGGTTACAGCGGCATAGAGGGTGGGACCTGCAGTCCAATCAGTTATAGCGACAGTGAGGGTGGGATCTGCAGTCCTATTGGTTACAGTGGCATTGAGGGTAGGACCTGCAGTTCCATCAGTTACAGTGGCAGTGAGGGTGGGACCTGCAGTCCGATCAATTACGGTGTTACAGAGGGACGGAACTTCAGTCCGTTTTTCCACTGCACAGTACAGCTCGACTCGACTCCGCTTGCTTTTTGGGGGCTTTCCACTGAGAATAGTACCTGGCACCTGATACTTTTTTAGTACCATCTTGGTCAAGGTTCCAAGCGAGCCGAGCCGAGGGAGTAAGGATTCTCCATATCATTTAATGTGTGTCATTTAATACATACTTAACGTATGTTAATATTCTATTAATTGAAAATTATGTATCATTTATCTCATTACAGATAAAATTAAAACAAAGGTTTCTGTCTTAGATTTTTAAATGAAAAATGAATGAATAAAAGCCTTTATTGTCAGTGCACAGCTGTACAACGAAATTCAAATGCAACTCCTTGTGGTCAAAGTAACACACAACAAGCAGAATACAAAACACTGAGTAAAGTAACACACAACATGCAAGCTCGACATAGCGTCAAGAGCAGATAAATAAATAAGCAGTAGAATGTATATTCCATCCATCCATCCATCTTCTACTGCTTACTCCCTCTTCAGGGTCACGGGGAACCTGGAGCCTATCCTAGGAATCATCGGGCACAAGGCGGGGTACACCCTGAACAGGGTGCCAGTCCATCGCAGGTAGAATGTATATTGCACAATCGCAAGTGTAATATGCATTGTGCAGTCCAATGTTTAAATATTCCAATGTGTAACGTATTACACAGTCCTGTACGTAATACATATTACACAGTCCTTTAAACAATTATGAGTTGAATTCTTTTATGGCACTTGGATAAAAACTGTTCATAAGTCTAGACGTGAGGGCCTGAATGGACATATAGTGCCTCCCAGAAGGCAGCAGTGTGAACAGACTTTTTCCCGGGTGAGAACAGTCCTGGATTATGCGTGCTGCATGATACAGGCATCTGGATCTGTATATATCAGTCACTGAGAGAAGCTGTGTCCTTATAATGTTGTGTGCTGACTTCCTGACTCTCCAAAGCCTTTTTATCAGCTATAGTGCAGCTTTTAAACCTCACCAAGATGTCGTGGGTGATGATACTCTTCACAGAACACTCGCTTGTTAAGTCTCGCTTGTTTCCGATTTCACAACCAATGTGTCACGTATCCGGAAACCCGGGACTTCAAGTCCCATCAGCCACTGCACTACACCACCTGACCACATGCACCTGACTCACGTTTTTGTTAATTAGCACCATTGTGTATTTATAGTCCTTGTCTGCACTTTCTCCTGGTCTTTCGTTGTTATAGACTCACGTCACTTCTGTCTCCGTGTTTGTTTCTTGCCACAGTGTTATGCCCAGTTGTCCTAGTGTTTTTGTTTCGGTATGCGCGGTGTGTTTAAAATAAATATTTAAAAATCTGCAATTGCTTCGCTTCCATTCGCCAAACGTGACAGAACGAAAGACCGTGACTACGAGGCAGTAGATTTTTTATTTATTTTTTTTCCGGATTCAGCAGTTTGCTCCCACCCGCCCTCCCGATGGGTCTCATGGATTCCCCTCTGTTCGCGGACCTCAAGGATTCCCCGCTGTTCAGCTACCTCAGAGTCGCGCAGCCGGTGAGTCCTGTGCAGGAGGTCTCTCCGCCGCCCGCTATGTGTGTGAGGACGTCTCCCCCGGGCGGACTCATCGGAATTCGTATTTCGCTGACCTCAGGGACTCCCCGCTGTTCAGCTACCTTAAGGTGCCTCAGCCTTCCTGTTCAGCTGAGGTCGTCGCACAGCCTTCCTGTTCAGCTGAGGTCGTCGCACAGCCGTCCTGTTCAGCTGAGGTCGTCGCACAGCCTTCCTGTTCAGCTGAGGTCGTCGCACAGCCTTCCTGTTCAGCTGTGGACGCCGCTCAGCATCCCTGCCCGGCTGTGGGCGCCGCTCGGCATTCCTGCCCGGTTTGGTGTACTCGCCGCCTTCCTGCTCGGCTGTGGACGTTGCTCGGCCTTCCTGCTTCGGCTGTGCGGACCTCGGCCTTCCTGCTCGGCGTGGGACGTCGCTTCGCTTCCTGCTCGGCTGTGGACGTCGCCG